AAATCCGAATATAAAAGATGCACAGCAGATCATCGCGCAATCGATAAAAGTTACGGTCGCGTAGGTGTCAGCGTCGTTAAAGTTAATTCCATGACGCGGTAACTTTTCCTATTAAGCAAAAAAAACTTGCATATGGCACCCAAGGGTAAATTAATATTCATCGCCTTACACTGTGAACGAGTTTTTAACCCCACACCATCGGATCTCCGGCAAGAAAACAATTCACCGTTTATTGTCGAAGCTTTAAAAGCCTTGCCGGACACGACCCACACGAGATGCAGTCGAAGAGGATCAAGCTGTCCCATGGCACTCGTACCGAGCCATAAAAATGAAATTACCGCTTACGTTCCGAGTACGGACGGTTATTTCACAATTCCGGTCCTAAATCATAAACTCAGCGGCTACCCTCGACTACGAATGAAATGAACGGGTATCGAGTCGCTTTCGAGTCGTAACCCCGGCATTGATAAAATTCAATACTTCAATGAGTGCTATCGGAAGAAAGCTGCGGACATAAACAACGAGCTTAAGCAACGGAATTAGCGGAAAATTACTAGTGACGCAAAATGCGGTTGCCAGGGAAGATGTTTTAACCCCTTATTTTGACGAGTCGGACGCGCTTACGGTTCAAACATATCCTGCTTGAATATTTAATACATTTCAATTTAAAGTCATCTTCAAGTTCAAAATCCCTTCAAGTCTAATTATAATTTGTCAAAGACCGTTCGATAGAAAATAGCCACATTTTGACTTTCTTTTATGATTTCAACCCTTTGCACTCCTTTGTTGCTGCTACGGAGACATGGTAAGATAAGCGAACTCCGTTGTCACCGCTATGGAGACATGGTAAAATCAGCGAATAACTCAATGATAAAATAAATGAATGAACGTCCTGAAGTTGATGGTAGCACAGTAAAAATGACTCAGATGCTGCTAGCCTATAATAACAAATGACTCGGAGTTGCTGGTAGTCCATAACAACAAATGACTCGGAGTTCTTGAAAGTTGTCGAAAATTGTCCAGAGTGCAAAGGGTTAACTATTGTAGTGAACAGTTATTTCTGACTAACACACCTGAGAAATTAATCGTACAAGGGGTTAATTGCGAACCAATAGTACGAGGCCCAGGTCGAACTTAAGAGGGAACAACCTCGGCAGTTAAATGCTCGTCTCACCCCAAGGAAAGGTCAAAGCACCGTCTCCGAGATCAGATAAATCGACGAGCCGGATCCTATGAAACGGTCCCCTAGCCGGTCAATCGCGACAGTTGTATCGGATTCCAGGATGTTCGTCGAGGGTGAGAGAGGAAAGCATTTGGCTGCGTGTGGTGGAAAGACGAGGGACAGGTGTCCGGCGAGGGTGCATTCACGGTCTAACGATCGGCAACCAGACGCCTTTTAACGCTCCCTCGTCGATGCAACGTGTGGGTGCGCCACAGCCTTTTTACCGGGCTCTGCGTCCAGATACCTTCGATTTTAGGCGAAATAGAGGCATACACGCTCACACGCTAACGTGTGCACGTGCAGGCTCACACGTGTCGATGGTAAATCCGGCGTGGAAAGGTCTACCGTGCGAGAGAATTTTCGAAGGGAGAGCAAAATCACTCTGTGGCGCGGTTGGGACACTCGAGGATTTATAAAATTCTCGGGCGAAATTTAGTTTGGGTTTTATTCTATGGAAATATGATTTTGGGGATGAATGAATTTTTAATCGAATTCGGGAGATTTTATGGTTCATGAATTTATAGTTTTGAGCATTGCAAATGGGTCAAATTATGTCGAATTTTTATTTTTGAGTATGAACAATAGATAATATAATATGATGTATTATATATCATGTTGAGTTTGTATTTTTGAATATGTCCAGTAGGTCATGTAGTATATTACAATATATTATGTCGAATTTTTATTTTTGAGTATGAACAATAGATGATATAATATGATGTATTATGTATCATGTTGAGTTTATGTTTTTATATATGTCCAATAGGACAAATTCAATTCTGTTGAATTTTTACTTTTGAGTGCGAACAATAGGTAATATAATATCATGTATCATATATCATGTTGAGTTTATGTTTTTATATATGTCCAATAGGTCAAATTCAATTATGTTGAATTTTTAATTTGAGCACGAACAATAAGTAATATAATATCATGTATCGTATATCATGTTGAGTTTATGTTTTTATATATGTCCAATAGGTCAAATTCGACTATGTTGAATTTTTAATTTGAGTGCGAACAATAGGTAATATAATATCATGTATCGTATATCATGTTGAGTTTATGTTTTTATATATGTCCAATAGGTCAAATTCAATTATGTTGAATTTTTACTTTTGAGCACGAATAATGGGTAATATAATATCATGTATCATATATCATGTTGAGTTTATGTTTTTATATATGTCCAATAGGTCAAATTCGACTATGTTGAATTTTTAATTTGAGTGCGAACAATAGGTAATATAATATCATGTATCATATATCATGTTGAAATTATAGTTTTGAATATGTCTAAAAAATAATATATATTTTTCAATATAACCAACAAATAATATAATATAGCACATCATCATACAGTACAATATATTATAAAAGTCTCATTTCACAATATGATACATGAACAGTATAACATGTTATTGCATTGGAACCACAATGCGTGGCCATATAGCATGTAAGAACTACAATATGAGGTGCTACTATGCGTACAAAAAGAGTACAGAGGAATTGCAACGTGTGGCGATACTATGCGTAGGAATCATAATGTGTAGCGGTACATCACGGAAGAATTATAACACGTGGCAATACACCGTGTAAAAATTACGATGTGTGACGATGCATTGCGTAGGAATTACGTTCCATATCACGAAGTAATTATAAACTGGAGGAATTACAACACGTAGGAATTGCACATCGTTAAAATTACAATATGTAGAAATTGCAACTGACTGTACAACGTTTAGGAATTTTAACCCATAGAAATTGCGATCTGTGGCGATATAACACGTAGAAATTACGATATATGGTTGGAATTGCGATACATGGCAATATAACGCATTGGGATAGCTATATGTGGCGATATAACGTGTAGGAATTGTAGTATGTGGCGATATATCAAGTGGGAATTGCGATGCGTGGCGGTACAACGCGTAGAAATTGCAATGAGCGGCGATACAACGCGTGAGAATTGCAATGAATGGCAATATAACGCGTGGGAACTGTAATATGTGGCGATACAACGCGCAGGAATTGCAATATGTGGTGATACAACGCGTAGGAATTACGACGCGTAAGAATTGCAATGAATGGCAATATAACGCGTGGAAACTGCAATATGTGGCGATCTAACAAGTAGGAATTCCAATGCGTTGCGATACAATGCGTAGGAATTGCAGCGCGTAAGAATTGCAATGAATGGCAATATAACGCGTGGGAATTGCAATATGTGGCGATACAACGCGTAGGAATTACGACGCGTAAGAATTGCAATTAACTGCAATATAACGCGTGGAAACTGCGATATGTGGCGATATAGCACGTAAGAATTATAATGCGTGGCGTTATAACGCGTAGGATTTACAACGCGTAAGAATTGCAATATAACGCATCACAGGAATTATAACGCGTGGCCATATACTCCGAGGAAACTACAACTGGCAATATAGAATATCTATTTCAATTTCGCATCAATATATTTAGATCGCATTCCCATCATGATGTCAAGGTTTATAATAAACGCGTCTGTCGCCTATAAAAAGAGAATTCATTTTCTGTTGGACACTTTCGGAACTCACTGTATATCACTTTTACGATCGCTTTTGTTGAGCACCGAACGGGGCTTTGACTCGATTTGAGAACATATATATTTTTTTTAACGACCTTCATGTGGAAGCTCCGTGTGGTTTCTTTAGGGTTTTTACGAGGTCTCGTTAACGCTTTGCGGTTCACATTAGGTCCCGCTTCGGCTTAGTGCTTAGACATGATTTGTTTTCAAACAGATTCCACCTTTTACTGTCCCTTAATCCCTGATAAAGTTTATTAGAGAAACAGACTAATGGTTCAGATTTTTTTTTCACGATCAATAGCAGAATTTTACGGTAGCAGTCGATGTAGCTATTTGTAGCCACAAGTTAAATACAGACAATCGATTCTTTTGTGGATAAAAATATACCTTTCTGCGATTTCAACGTTATCGCTTCGGTATATCTTTTATGCTAAATTTTAGATCGATCTCTTTTAGATTTAAAACAGGGACTCACGATCGATCTATCCATCGATAACACTGTTAGGCTTCCAAGCTTCCAGCATTCTACTCGGGAATGGGAACTCCGGGATTTCTAGGAACTTTTGAAATGGGCTTCGGAATGCAGATTCGATATCTATTATAGAAGTTTTATGTCGATTATTTTCTTCGAATCTTATTTAACTTGCGTTAAATTTGCTTTTGAAGGAACGCAGGAACTTTTATAGAATTCTAGAAACTCGATGATCAAACCGTAGAACGTTTGTGCTCTCATCTTGATCAAGAGAGATGCTCTTTTCTACAATGTTCATCTCATCGTCATTCATTTAAATCGCTAAACAAAAAGCTTTTAAATATTACGTGAAATTTGAGAAAATAAAATTTGAATTAGATATTTAACACCGAATTAGAAATGTTCGGGATCTGTCATTCAAGTGTCAATCATGATTTTCAGACATTCGAAGTGGATCTACTTTTCTTATAAGTCGAATATACGTGCATATACAAAGAGAAATATATAAGTACAAGTATGTATACAGATAAATAAAGTACAAAAAAAAATATGTTTCTAACTTTAACAAATTACAATGGCTTTTTTAATATTCCATCAAGATTCATTTAGTGACATGTGAAGATCATGTGAACATACAAGTTCTAGGCATTGCATGCCTTAATCGCTGAGAATTGTCTCATGCGCACAAACGTCCACGGTTTTGATTATGAAGAATAATGTAATGTAAGGTAAAGACTTACCCAATCACGTGTGGGACGTCGATGGAGTGAGATGAGGCCCGTTTCCGATCTCCGGCCATATCGGCGAGCCTAGCGAAATCTGTATCCTGATCGGCCAACCGAGCACTTTTTCGTGACTCGAGCAACCTGACCTCGTCTATGCGTTTGGTCAGCCTCATCGTCTGCAACAGGATATATGTCCATGTTAAGATCGAATATCACACCCCGAAAATTCGGTTGCTTTAAGTTATCGGATGATCGACGTCCTGATAGCCTTTAAGGCAAGATCACCCTTTAAGAATTATGATGGAAGTCGGAATATATCAAGTTTTAACTTCTATTGTTTTCATGGAGTAATAGTAGGTGACTAGTATTTTCTTCTGGTACTTTGTTAAATAATAATGGTTGACTTTGTTGGCTGGTACATTATTAACTAGTTAATACTGGTTGACTGGTACTTTGGCGACTGGTACTTTGATAAGTAATACTGGTTGACTAGTACTTTGTCAACTGGTACTTTGTTAACTAATAATGGTTGACTAGTACTTTGTTGGCTGGTACATTATTAACTAGTTAATACTGGTTGACTACTACTTTGGCGACTGGTATTTTGATAAGTAACACTGGTTGACTAGTACTTTGCCAACTGGTACTTTGTTAACTAATACTAGTTGACTAGTACTTTGTTAACTGGTACATTATTAACTAGTTAATACTGATTGACTAGTACTTTGCCAACTGGTATTTTGATAAGTAACACTGGTTGACTAGTCCATTGTTAACTAATACTAGTTAACTAATACTTTCTTAACCAGTACTAGTTTGTTTGATTTATATAAAACATGAGAGATCTTAAGTGAATGACCGGAGGCAACTGTCCCATTGTCAACTGGTACTTTGTTAACTAGTTAATACTGGTTAACTAGTACTTTGGCGACTGGTACTTTGATAAGTAACACTGGTTGACTAGTCCATTGTTAACTAATACTAGTTAACTAATACTTTCTTAACCAGTACTAGTTTGTTTGATTTATATAAAACATGAGAGATCTTAAGTGAATGACCGGAGGCAACTGTCCCATTGGCCTAATTATACTGGTGTCGTGTGTTTGTACTTCGTTAACCTTTAATCTATGGCTTTTCGGCAGTTACGTCAGAGTTAATTATTACGAGGTCAATGTTGAGGTATAGAAAGTTGAAATTTGTGCTACATATCGAATGTAGTAATCTTTAATTGCACAGACTGTAATTGGTAAGAAAGCTAAAAGCTTTATCCTTGTGCTAAGATGATTTACACAAGATTTGGCACACCTATATTTTTACGTTCGTAACAGTAGTAGATTTGTCACATTCTTAGGTTTCTTTACATCTATAAATTTTTCACTTTTGTAGGTTTATCAGATTTGTAGGGTCGCCACATATGTAGGTTTGCCTCATATGTAGATTTGTCATATTTGTAGGTCTGTCACATTTATAAGTTTGTTATAGCTGCATGTTTGTTATATTTGTAAGTTTGTTACATTTGCAAGTCCGTCACGTTTGCATATTGCATTTATAGGTTTGCCACATTCGTAGGCTCGTCACATTTGTAGGCCGGTCACATTCATAGCTTCGTCATATTCATAGGTTCGTCACATTCGTAGGTCTGTCACATTTGGAGGGTCGTCACGTTTGTATATTTATTGCATTTGTAGGTTTGTCGCATTAAGAGATTATTCCACATTTGTCAGATTTATAGGTCCATCACATTTGTATATTTATTACATACATATATAGGTTCACATTTGTAGGTATATCACATATGCAGCTTCCTCTCATTTGCAAGTCTGTCACATTCGTAAGTTTGTCACATATGTGGGTTTGTTACATTCATACGTTCATCGCATCTACAAAGTCACATTCGTAAATTTGTCACATATGTGGGTTTGCTACATTCATACGTTTATCACATCTACAAAATCACATTCGTAAATTTGTCACATATGTAGATTTGTTACATTCATACGTTTATCACATCTACAAAGTCACATATGTAGGTTTGTCACATATGTAGGTTTGTCACATATGTAGGCTTGTTACATTTATACGTTCATCACATCTACAAAGTCACATATGTAGGTTTGTTACATTCATACGTTCATCACATCTACAAAGTCACATATGTAGATTTGTCACATATGTAGGTTTGTTACATTCATACGTTCATCACATCTACAAATTCTTCACATTTATAAGTTTTTTTTACAATTCTAGTCATCACATGTGTAAATTAGTCATATGTGGACAGCAACGTGCGTCACCAGTTTGATTCAATGTTATAACCCTACCAACCGATCAGTTTTATCTGTCCTATAGTAGAACACGTACTCAAACTTATAAAATCATACAAGATGATTCACAAGAAATGTGCACTATAAAGTCAAAGTTCCCGTCCCAAAAAATAATCCTCATCTCGCGGGAGAAAGCGTGAAATTTTGAACAGGCTAAACTTTCCCCTGAATCAGCCGTATCGTTTAATTGCACGACCAGTGATTACTTCCTTGTAATTACAGTCGGTTCAGCAGTGGCATTCCTACGTCAGGAGCAAACACGTTTATCCGCGGACCGGTTGCGTCATTGTCTATTTAGAGCCAATACACGTTTAATCCAATATGTAGCAGGATGAACAATTAATTATACTTTTTTGACTTCGTTTTGAAACATCATACCCTTTTGTTCAGAAGTTTATTCAGAACGAATTATACTGAATTATTACCTTGGGATAAATTTTAATGTATAGTAATTAGGTAGTTTAATTGCATATCAACTCTTAGAGGATCTTGACCTTTGTCCAAATACTTCCTTCTTTCACAAAATTATCAAAATTAATTATAAAAAATTTTCTGCAGAACCATTCTCTAAACCTCTCACTTTACAATAAAACTACCAAACACGTGTTTGAATAATCACCAGCTATTTAGTTGCAAACGTAGGAAATGTCGGTAATCAGAGAGTCTAAAAAAGCGGACAAGTTACCGCGAATTCTTGTTTAAGGCGTTGAACAAAATGAAAACTCTATGGTCACTTTTAAAATCCAGCCCTATTGGTCCGCCACACCTGTTCGTAAAACGGAATGTTCGTGGAGCTCGTTCTAATCGAGTTTCATAGTTGGGAAACAAGTCAATTGATTACTATTAAAGAACATAATAACAGGTATACCGACAGTCGCGATTAACCCTGCTTGCGAACCAGATCGACGTTTTTCTTCGAGGGTGTAGAAGCTGAAAAGTGTTGGGTATTTGATGGATATCCTCGGTGGATACTTAACGATCAACTTTTTAGATCAGTATCATAGTTTCTTAGTATTTTGTGGAGTTGTAAAGAGTTTGCTTTCTTTTATTGGGTAATTTGGAATCTGAAGGTTTATAAGAAAACGTGGATAACCATGTGAACTTTAGATTAGTCTATGTAAAGTGAAAATGGCAATATAACAAGAGGCAACTATTACTTCATTGTACCTGTACATAGTACCTATATATAGGTTCCTAGGTACAATAGATACCCTATGCATTGGTACGACGAAGTAATAGTTGCCTCTCGTTATATTGCCATTTTCACCTTACGTAGACTAATCTAACGTTCATTGTACCTGTACATAGTATCTATATATAGGTTCCTAGGTATAATAGATACCTTATGTATAGGTACAACGAAGTAATAGTTGCCTCTCGTTATATTGCCATTTTCACCTTACGTAGACTAATCTAACGTTCATTGTACCTGTACATAGTATCTATATATAGGTTCCTAGGTATAATAGATACCTTATGTATAGGTACAACGAAGTAATAGTTGCCTCTTGTTATATTGCCGTTTTCACCTTACGTAGACTAATCTAACGTTCATTGTACCTGTACATAGTATCTATATATAGGTTCCTAGGTATAATAGATACCTTATGTATAGGTACAACGAAGTAATAGTTGCCTCTCGTTATATTGCCATTTTCACCTTACGTAGACTAATCTAACGTTCATTGTACCTGTACATAGTATCTATATATAGGTTCCTAGGTACAATAGATACCCTATGCATAGGTACAACGAAGTAATAGTTGCCTCTCGTTATATTGCCATTTTCACCTTACGTAGACTAATCTAACGTTCATTGTACCTATACATAGTATCTATATATAGGTTTCTAGGTATAAGAGATACCTTATGTATAGGTACAATGAAGTAATAGTTGCCTCTCGTTATATTGCCATTTTCACCTTACGTAGACTAATCTAACGTTCATTGTACCTATACATAGTACTTATATATAGGTTCCTAGGTATAATAGATACTTTATGTATAGATACAATGAAGTAATAGTTGCCTCTCGTTATATTGCTATCTTCACTTTTACAGGTTCCTACTGTACCTATGATCTTTTATACAGATTGCACTGAGTTATGCAAAGAATTATATGTGCAGGTTCATTGTACAGATACAATGAAGTAATAGTTGTCTCTCGCTATATTGCCATCTTCACTTTTACAGGTACCTACTGTACCTATGAGCTTTTATACAGACTGCACTAATTTATGCAAAGAATTGTATGTACAGGTTCATAGTACAGGTACAATGAAGTAATAGTTGTCTCTCGTTATATTGCCATCTTCACTTTTATAGGTACCTACTGTACCTATGAGCTTTTATGCAGATTGTACTAAGTTATGCAAAGAATTTGGGTTGGGTAAATAAATACGAAACAATGAATCGGAAATCTGTGAGGAAAAAAGATAACTTCCGTATGTATACGCGGTTCGCATCTCTTTAACTCGCGGCGTTGAACTCTGCAGGAGGAAACGATCAGAACCAACCAGGCAAACTGTTTACCCGTGGCAACATCGTCATTATATTCGCATTATCGTGCCTTTGACCGGGGACTTGCACCAGCACAAGTGCATCCGCTGTACAATTTCAACTGGCAGAAAAAGCGTTCTTCGAGTTCTCTCTGGTACTTTGCGAGCCACGTGCTCGAGTATCGAACATGTTCCCCGATTTATTCGCTGAAAACTAACGAGTCTCGAAATGTATCACCGCGATAAACTTTCGATATTTTACGTCCGAGGTATTTTCGTGTAACGCCGCTAATTTATCATAGAAGATACGCGGTTGCAATTATAGAAGGCATTTCTAATGGTTTTATTTTTATT